AATCCTATCTTCTGAAAGATTTTGTGTGTGTGGCCCTCGACAGCCTACCAAAATTTACTAAGTGGCCCTCCAACCGAAATCATTTCCCACCCCTGCATTAAGGCAATATAGAATACGAGGGGCACTGAAAACACTGAAAGTGGAAGTTATGTGGTAGGATTGATGGGCCAGGAAAGTTATTTTATTGGCTTTATTTGAACTAGATTAAAACTGGGGGCTGTGGATATCAGGAAAACAGAAGCTTTAGGAATTGAGACCAGAAAGATCCTGACATGAGTAAAGGTTAGAGGTTAGAAGAGGAGAAATGAAGCTTTGGAATTTTATTATGAGGAAAGAAATGGCAGGATTTGGACCTACATGGCAAATGAGGTGGTAGTTAAAGGTGGTAGGCTGTTAAGGATGACTGAGGTTGTAGGACAGGAGGTATTAACTGACAGGGAAGGGGGAAATGACAGAATACTGAGGAAGAAAGTGTTTCTCTATATTAAACTTTAATTGATCATGAAATGTGTGGAGGCATGGTAGAGAAATAAAAAAAGTGTGATTGATCTTCCCACTTCTGCCCTTTTGATTTGATTGAAAGGAAAGTGAAAAGACTTGGTCCGCAACTAAGTGGTAGGGGGAGTTGAAGTGACAGTTTAAATTATGGGAGTACATAAACCACCCAGAAATGGGGTTTAAAGGTTACCCACAGAGTAGGGGGAAAAAGTAAGGAGCAAAAAGATCGGAGACCCACGTAGTAATATCCAAAAAGATGAGAGAAGAGGTTCCACTAGGAGAATCTAGTACATTTGCTTTAACACCAGTATCTTAATTCAAGTAAAACTGAATACAAATGAGCATTTCAGTTTGTTTTGGTTTTTATTCTTAACCTGTTTCTGATTGCAGAACTCCTCAGTGTTAAGACTAACAATAACTTATGTTAAACGTTTGTAAGGAGGAACTAAATGTCTGTCCAGCAGGGCTGGTCTTGAAGGTAGAGCAAGATAGACAAGTCAAATGATATGAAGTTATCTTAAATATCCTAGAAATGCCCAAGTTCAGCAGAGCACTTAAACATGCACTGAATTTTCATGCTCAGGAATAGTCCCATGGGCTGTGTCCATATGAGCGCAGACATTTGTTTCCCCAGGGACGAGCAGCAGCGGCATACCTTTGCCACTGCTACTTATCCCCAGTGAATGTCTGTGCCACATGCCCTCTGGCACGTGGCAAGTTACCCTGGGTGGGATAGGGGAGGCTGGGGCCAGCAACTGTGAGGTCCCAGGAGCCTTGCCTGGCGTCCTGGGAGCCTCGGGGAGCTGCAGCCATGGCACTGCTCCAGCTGGAAGCCTAGCCGGCAGCTGGAGTGTGGCTCTGGCTGGCCAGGCTCCGGTTTTGGGTGGTGTGTACTGTCACCATATGCACCGCCCCTGGTTTGTTTTTTTTTTGGCATGGGTTTTTTTTTGAGCCTGAGATCTCCCTTCCCCCCAGCACTGCAAGGTAGCAGTGTAGGCAACACCTGCATGTGCAACGTGTAGGAGCTGCAGATAGGTCTGTGGCATCAAATACCTCATATCTGTGCTCGTCTGGATGCGGCCATGGAGTTCATTTGAAGTAAGTGTGTGCCTAACTGTTTTATTGAATAGAGGTGTAGATGTATATTTAGTGCATGTAAGATGGCTCGATTGTAAATTTATAATAGACCATTCCAAACCAATGATGGCTTGAGCTGCATGCCTGGGTTTTTTGTTAAATAATGACTCTCAGCCCAGCTACACACTTCCAGTATGGTATTATTTCAGGTTGTTGCAGTGACATGTTTTTCTTCCCATGTGCTATTTAGTATGTGCAGTTCACCTTTATGTTTCCAGTTTATGTTTCAGTTCTTCAAACATTGGTATTGGTGCTCTCCTACAATATTGGAGGGATCAAGTCTCCCTTTGAAACAGTAATAAATACTTTTTTTCCCAACTGATTACTTAATCCTTTTTGTATGGTACCTTCCTAAACAGTATTTGCTTGTTATATGCTGTCTGTATTCCGCCCTTCCTAAGGAAGGTATGGTACCTTCCTAAACAGTATTTGCTTGTTATATGCTGTCTGTATTCTGCAAGAATATGGTTCATAAACCAATTCCAATATTTTGTCTGGGTAACAATTCCCTCCCACCCATCCTAGGAAATGAAAATATTCTCAACTTCTGAGTTAAATTAAAAATCGTAGTGTATTTTGATGAATAAGTCAAGGTAAAGTAACTAAAGATAGCAGCACTTTGGAGTTTTGACAGTTTAGGGGAAAATGGGATTCATGTTCTGTCTCCATTTTTTTTGGCATAGTGTTGTCCAGTACAGATAAAAATAAATCAAATGTCTTTTATGTTTTCTTAATTGTTAGCTGCTTGGAAAATTATGAGTCGGGTAAATTTGTAACCTTGTAAGTATTATTCAGTCCACAGTTGCACTCTTACCCTTCATTTATCTGCTTTAAATGCATGATGACCTTAAGCTGGCTGGCTTCACTGCTGCATTATCATTGTCTGAGGTAATAGAAGTGTTCAGTTTAGTTGCGGTTTTCCAACAGGGCTGCATGGCTTACTCTGTCTGCTTGGCAAAATTGTTCAGATCTCCATGCTCCAAGATTGAATTACTTAAAAATTCATTCATAGAAAAGCAGACACTTTTGTGTACAGTGAGGCATCACTTGCCAGCTCATCCAACATTCACTAACCGCAGCTGTTTTTCTCACAGCTCATATTAGATGCACGGATTAGACACTGAATAGATTTATTTTCTTCCTAGATGGCACTTCATATGCTGTGAATTTGTCAAGACACCTTATTTAAGAATTTAAGTGAATGGTCACTTGATGTTGGAAAGAGGGTATCATTTGAAGTAATGAGCAAAACTGTTGTATTAAACTGTTTGTATACACTATCAATGCTACTTTACAAGGTTTCTAAATACTGTTATCTTCTAGCAAAATGGTTATATAACATAAGTGAAGGTGAGGTGTGATGTTTGTTTTGTTTTGTTTTGTTTTGTTTTTGGCCAGTTATTTTCCAAAATCACAGTTGTTAAGGCCTTGATTAAACAAGAAGAAAGGGATTTTAGGCAGTGTGGGTTAAGTGGATTTGATTGAAAGGAAAGTGAAAAGGACTCAGTTCACAACTAAATTTTAATTTAAGTGCTAATCCTGACCAAGGAAGAATTGGCTGTGATAGCCAGTTGGCATTAATAGTTAATTTCAGGATGGATTTTATGTTCCCTAACCAAAGCTTAGCAGATTCTTTGAGCGTGGTTTGTGATGAGAGTATATTATTTCTAATAAATGAGAAAATCTATTAGTTATTGATGTTCATGATACAAACAACTCAGTTTTCTGAAGAAAGCTGCTAAAAAGGGCATCCTGGGTAATAAAAACAACATACATATTTGCTAACTTGAAGTATCAAATGCTAAATTGGGTAGTTACATGCTAAAGCATTAAGTTACTTAACTATATATCCATATATACTAACTAAAGAAGTTGTCTAAATTTGAAGACTAAAAATCCAAAGAAGGGGTTTTCCTTATAATTGATGCTGTCAAATTTTAAGTCAGTATCAACTGAAAAGTTTTTAAGAGGTTCCTGTATTTTGCTCTGATGCATGGACTAAAAAGGAAAAGGATGAGGGGTTTTTCATGTTGTATTAAAATGGAAAATTAGCAGTACTGCCATATAAAATAGGTAATACAAGGTAAGTAAGGTTGTTTCAGAAAGGAAAAAAAATCAATTGCTTGAAGAAGCTTTGTTTACTAGATTTAATACCTCAGTATACATGTAAATAATATTTGCAATCCAGAACGAAAGGACTGAAATTGGATTTTGCACAATTAATGCTACTTTTCAACTATGCATCTTTATGAGAATGCATATTGCATCAAATCTCAGTTTGCAGATGTCAGTGCTGGCTATATCACTTAGAAGGAGCGCTTTAGTTAAGTTTAGTTTAGGAGAGTCACGTGATCACACTGGGGAAAAGTAATAGAGACAAAGGCAGAGGGAATTGGATTAGGTTGGCTAACATGGATGCAGATAGACTTGGAAACTTCTAATACTGCTGAAGATGTCAATTTTGAGATGCTAATGACCATATTTACATAAATTAAAGACTATTCTAATTTAAGATGACCCCCAAACAATTCTATTCTGTACATGGAAAATAACGGTATAATTTTCCATGTATAAAATCTAACTATTGGAGGGTGATCTTAAGTGCTTTCCTCTCCTATACCACTGTGGCAGGGAAAGTAGCAACGGCAGGGGCAGGCTGCCAGATCCATACTCCACACTCCTTGCCCCCACCTCTGCTCCCCCTACCCCCTGTCACTTATCTTCTGTGGCAGCTCTGGCTCCACGGCAGTCAGCACCAGTGGCCTTAGCCTGGTTCCAGCCTGGCCAGGCAGAAGCAGCAGCAGCTCTATATAGGACCATAGCCGGCACAGAAGTCAAATGGCAGGGGGCCACAATGGTGGGAGGTTGGAGGTCTCCCCTGTGCTCCCCACAAGCATCACACCACGGGTCTCCCCCATGTGCTCCTCCCCTTCTGGATTTCCCCCAAGGTCGTCCACTCCACCATGTGGTTTCCTCTGGGCAGGTCTTGCTGCACACCTCCTTTCCCACAGCACAAGCCACCCAGCCCTGGGGACACAGCAGCTTGGCTCCAGTTCTGTCCTGGCCTGGAGCTGGGTCTACAGCAGCCACCTAACATAATACAAGACTGCAAAAAGTTGAAAGGTTAAAGATTACAAAAATAGCATACCAAATGACATTCAACTGAGATTATTTGAAGGCTGCAAAAAGTAAGCCTGAAAAATTACCTTAGTGTGTGAGTATTGTATCATGGTGCATTAAGTTCTTAAAAATACTAAGACTAGTACTTGAATGCTCTGTAACATCCTGTGTAACTTAGTCTGCTTGCCTTTGTTTTAATGTGGTTCTGCAAGAAAAATAGACATTTTTTCCTCTCCTTAATCTAGATTGGGGGTTGCTACAGTCTTAACGTCTTTTCTGTGCGTGACAACAGATTATCTCGAATTCCCCCTGAAATTTCACAAGCCACTGAGCTTCATGTGCTAGATGTCGCTGGAAACAGGTAAAAGATTTTATAATTTCATATTCCTTTGCTGGTATTTCTTTATACACTATAAAGAAATGTTCTTTTATGTTTGAGAACAAAGTGGCAAAAGCTTTTCCTTCTTTATTAGTAAAAAATATTATGAATTTACCAATGCAATCGTCCTTCTTAGTTTCATAGTTGGTAGGGTCAGAAGGGACCTGAGCAGATCATCAAGTCCGACGTCCTGCCATGGCAGGAAAAAGTGCTGAGGTCAAATGACCCTGGCGAGGTGTTCATCCAGCCTCCTCTTAAAGACCCCCAGGGTAGGAGCCAGCACCACTTCTCTTGGAAGTTGGTTCCAGATCCTAGCCGCCCGGACTGTGAAGTAGTGCCTCCTGATATCTAGCCTAAATCTACCCTCTACCAGCTTGTGACCGTTATTTCTTGTCACTCCTGGTAGGAACAGAGACTCCCCCAATACCTGCTGGTCCCCCCTGAGCAGTTTGTAAAAGGCCACTAGATCCCCCTTCAGCCTTCTCTTGTGGAGGCTGAACAGGTTCAGGTCCTGTAGCCTCTCCTCATAGGGCATGCCCTGCTGACTCCTGATCATGTGGGTGGCCCTTCTCTGGACCCTCTCAATGCTGTCAACATCTCTCCTGAAGTGCGACGCCCAGAACTGGACGCAGTACTCCAACTGTGGCCTGACCAGTGTTGCATAGAGGGGGAGGGATCACCTCCTTGGACCTGCTTGAGATGCATCTGTGGATGCATGACAAGGTGTGGTTGGCCTTCCTGACCACGTCCCTATGCTGCCGGCCCATGTTCATTTTGGCATCAATAATGACTCCAAGATCTTTTTCTGCCTTTGCACTGACGAGAAGGGAGTTCCCCAGCCTGTAGGTATGCTGCTGGTTCTTCCTCCCCAGGTGCAGCACCTTGCACTTGTCAGTGTTGAAACCCATCCTGTTCTCATCTGCCCACCCCAGTAACCTGTCTAGGTCCGATTGCAGCCTATTCCTCCCTTCTAGCATGCCCACTTCTCCCCCATCTTAGTGTCATCTGCAAATTTGAACAGGGTGCTTTTTACACCCTCATCCAAGTTGCTGTCAAATAGTAATTCCAAAATAACCAATGTGGATCATAGCTTTGTGGGGCAACACCTTCGGAAGCCTTTTTGCTGCAAATTAGTCACAATTATATTTCCTGGATGGTTTCATCCATAGAGGAAAAAAGGTTTCTAATTTTTTTACAGTATGCTTCTGAACTTAAATTTAAAGCAGATTGATCCTGGTTTCAGTTGAAGCCTTCGTGGTGAATTGAATATTTGCATGAATACCAGGTAGTCCTTCTGAGATAGGAGTCTGGCCTTCAAATTGCTGATATTAAGACTATTACAGTTATATAATATCAGTACAGAAACTTTAGACCATATTTGGAGAAAAACAGTACAGGCCCCAGATAATCTGGTTTTGAAATCTGCTTTCTCTCATGAATCAGAAATGACAACACAGGGAGGGGTAGGAGACAGGCAAACACAGCATGATGCTGCTGCACGTGGAATATAGCAATTAGGGTCTCATTTACTTAATCTTATATATTAGGTTCTTATTTATAAGCACATTAGACCATAGAGCCAATACACATGCAATTTTAATATTGCCATCACAAAAACCTGCTAATCAGGAATGTATTTTCCCCTAGTAAAACTTTCCTTTTGTGTTTGTATATTTTTACCACTGTTCAAACTGGTTCATCTTAGCAAACAACAAGACTTGCATATGTGTTTTTTTGAAGTAGGATGGTTACAAAAAAGTAGTGTGTAGCTATCTAATGTACTGAGCAGTCTGATAGGGACAAGCACCCTGACTTCCCAGTAAGTTAGGCTTCATGTTTCTGAAGTAGCACACCCAAAAAATAGACATTCTGCACATCGGTAGGTACTTTTAGAGATTATAATCATGAAGAATACTCACTTTAGTTGCATAATTATTTCCTTGTAATTTTAATCAGGAAGACATTAAAATATTCTAGCAGAAAGGAGACAAAAATTATAAGACATTTCTCAGTATTTCTTCAAATAGTGAGTATTAATATTTTTTGCCATAGACGTGCTTGCTTGTTTATAGTGCACCTTTTGCCTCTAGTTGTAGTCATAGGAACAGAAATAAAGTAAATCTCACTCTAACTGAAAACAAGCAGTAAAAAGGATGTTGATTATGCTGGAACTTACTTTTGCTTGTTTCGGAAGAGTAGATATTATTCTGCCTGTTCAACTTCCTGCCTGTCTGGCTCACTGATCAATTTGGGCAGTGTTGTTTTGGGTATAGATGATCATGTATTTTTATCGTGGTGGATCCTAAAAGTTTCAATCTAGAATTGGGGCCTCATTCCATTAGGCACTGTAAGTACAATAATATGATGTTCTTTGCTTGAGATGACTATCCAAGTGTGAGAAGCAGCTAAATATACCAGGCAGGGAGCACTAAGTCACCTGTATTTTCACTTTTCCTTTTCCTTATATAATGCAATCTGCGGGCAGTATGGGTGGAGAAACAGCATCAGGTTGATTTAATTCATTTAGAAACTGACCTGACATATCTTTCATTTCTTTCTGAATTAGGTTGACACATCTTCCTCTTTCACTGACTACCTTAAAGCTAAAGGCTTTGTGGTTGTCTGATAACCAGTCCCAGCCTTTGCTGACGTTCCAGACTGACACAGACCCTGAAACAGGAGAAAAGATTTTAACATGTGTATTGCTTCCCCAAATGCCTTCTGAGCCTGGTTGCCAAGGTAAACACTTCTAAACTTATTCCAATAAAAACTTATTCCAATAAAACAAAAATGGCTTCTCTGGGTAGTGTATTGTGGCTTCCTCCAGAGGTGTACAACAGGTTTTGGTTTATCCCTTTAAAAAAAAAAAAGTAATTAGAAATGAACAAAAATTTAGGCTGGAGTTTCTTTGCTAAATGGCTTTTCTTACTGATTTCCATTGTAATGCACTTACAATTAACTCCAGTGCGTGAATAGTAATTTTTTACTGAAAATATAAAGACAATTCCAATATATAAAATATTAAGTCTAAAACATTGAATATCTAATCATATATCCCAGATATGCAAAAAGATTTAGTAATAGAGACTACATGTGCACAGTAGGTATGCACCAAAAAACAGAGGCATGTGACTATGGAACGGAGTTGAAAGGTTTTAATTTTTCTTAAAAAGATGATAGTAATAAATAGCTGATGCCATAATGAATAGACATAGTCTCTAGAATGTGACCTCTCTATCAGTGGTAGTAGGCTCCCCTTCAAATGTAAATACTGCACAGTAACCGTTAAAAGAATAGATTATATATTTTATTGAACTATGGAGTTTGGAGAGATGTTAGACTTCATTTTGGCACAAAATGACCCAGGAGCATTTTAGAACCTTGTCTAAAAATCTTTTCTGACTAAATAGTTGGGTCAGTAGAAGTTATTAATAAATCTTGCCTCTCGCATATTCCTTGGGCTACAACTACAATAATGCTACTAAAAGAATAGATGAAAGTTTGAGAGTAAGTGAATTAAATTGTTAACTCCATTGCTTTGTTCCTTCAACCTCAAACCCAGCTAATATTCGAGCTGCTGCATGTATAATATGTGTCTTTGGGTCTCAGGTGAAATTTTAGGATCCTTTGCGATGTTTGTTGTGTTACCACTTAAGTTTGAATACTCATGTATCATTGAAAGATGCTAGCCATATATTAGCATTTCGGGTGAGCTCCACTAGGAGCTCTGTGCCTCCATGGCGAGGCTGCCCCTGTCTGGCCGGCAGCAGTTGAGGGCACAACTCCGTGTCACCATCCCAGCTCTTGTCAGGCGGGCAGGGGGTGCTTTTCCATGACAGTGCAGGGCTTGTAGTGGTGGTGGCACCGAGCTTCCCTCCCTCACTCTGCCCTGCTGCTCTGGGTCCTGCCTGCTGGGCTGTGGAGGCCCTGGGGGGAGGACAGCAGATGGGGAACCCCGAGCCTGCAGCAGGCAGCTTGTCCCCTCCCCACACGCAAATCTGGGGGGGCATATGTCCTCCAGGGAGTGCGTGCAGTGGCGGGGAGCCAGCCCCTTTCCTGCTGCCCGTGGCTCCATCCCACTCCCTGCCCAGGCCCTGTGGCCGTGCATTCCAGCCTGGAGTCCCAAGCCCTAGCCCCACCCCTGCCCAACTCCCTCTGTCCTTCACTATGGGAACTTCAAACCTCCCCCGCCAGAGTTACCTGTGGGAGCTGCTCTCCAGGCTGCCTGGCAGCCATGTGTATGTGTATGTGCGCATGTGCACCTGGCGCTCCATACCTGACTGCCCTCCTCCTGTTCCTCCCAGCCCTTTGCAGGCTGGAGCTCTGCTAGCCTGTAAGGGGAAACCCACTGTTTCCCATGTTTTTTTCCTTTAAAGGAGAAAATCTGGGTTTCTCCTTAAAATGAGAAAATCTGGGTTTTACCACTTTTTTGTGGCAAATGGAAAACCCAGATACCTGGTGATAAGGCACTGTGCTCACCTTTTAATGTAATAATATAATGGTTAGAGCACATGCAGGAAGTGGAAGATATGGGTTTTAGCTTCATTTCAGCCAGAAGATGGTTCAGTCCCCTGTGTTTCACCTACTAGGAGAGTGCCCTAACAAACAGGCTACAGGCTAAGCTAGACTGGGGCACACTCCATCCTTCTGGCTGAAGCTTGACTACTCTGTAAGAAGGAATAAAATAGCAAAAGGTGAGCTAAAGCCAGAGGGAGCATGGCTGTTGCCTGTAAAATGGGCACTCTCTGGAGTGTGGGAGTCCCATTTTCCAGTCCCTGTTTCTACAGACTTTGCATTAAGAGTTACTGGATAATATGCGTGAGTGGTCTTTGCTATCCTAGAGACTCTCATCCTCTTATACAACAGTGATTGGAGCCAAATAGAGAATTTAATGTTGCCAGCTCTCTCAGCAATTCTGTTCCCTTGATATTGAATGTCTTAAATTATAAGTCTAAAAAGAATGTGGATTAAATAAGAATCTTCTTATGTTAAAAATAAAAAAAAGAAAGGGAAAAAAAACCCCTAGCTCCCAAAGCTACATAGAAAAAAACCTTGAAAATAAGAATCTGAACATCTGAGATCTAAAGGCAACTACAAAGATCCCAGTTTTTCTAGGTCATCGTTTCTAAGCAAATCTGATAGATTTTCTTTTTCCTTTTTTTTTCCTGTGTGTGTGTGTGTGTGTGTGTGTGCAGTAGAATATAGGTTGGCAAAAGAAGGGTATTGGGTGTGCGGCTGTGAGAGACATTCATGATTTGGCAATAAGATGGCAAGAATGATGGCATTCTTGATGTAACTAAAAACAGTCTTTTACACATATTTTATACATTTAGGCTCTCAAGCTTTCAAAATGGTCATGGAACAACTAAGCAGCCAGAGTACAAAACATTTGCCTTTGCCCTTTACTGTAGATGTTTGGTAGAGGAAAATCTAAACTATGAACAATAGGAAAAAAACCCAAAAAATGTATATATAGTGAACAGTCAGTGCAATTTTGCAAATCAGTGTGAATGTTAGGACACATACTTACTCTTTTATGAACTTCAGCTTTTTATTCCTGTTATAACAGATAACCTGCCACGATGTGGTGCATTGGAGAGCTTAGTCAATGAAGTGTCAGATGAAACCTGGAATGAGCGTGCAGTAAACAGAGTCAGTGCAATCCGCTTTTTAGAAGATGAAAAAGATGAAGAGGATAATGAAATGGTATGTTCCCCAAAGACTAATACATGCACATAATGACCACAGTGTAAAAGGTGTCTGTGCGCTATATATTTTCTGAAACATTTCAGCAGTAGCAGGGGACCTTTTACATGCACGTTTGTAACAGAACTGCTAAACCTTTGTCTTTAAAATCCTTTACCTCACAGCTCTTTCAGCCTCTCCTCCCCCTTCTTGAAATATACTTTTCACTTCTGCTGAAACAAGGCAATCTTGCTGTGAAAATAAGTCATCTCAGTTCCCTCCCTCCTACCCCCTTTAGGATTTCTTCCATTTTTCCAAAAGAAAGTTAAAATTAGGGTTTTCCTTTCTTTTATGGACCAAACCTTGCCTTCATATTTGTTAGATGGCAATTAAGGATTATCATACCCTGATGTGGTTCCCCACTGAGTTTTTCCATATCATATCATTTGTCTTTTCTCCCTATTCTTATTGCCTGTCCTTCCATTTCATGACCATTTACATTGATACCAACATAGACCGTCCATGCCCAGGTGGAATGTGGCACATTTGTGTGTTTCCCACTCAAATGAAAAAAGTATGTTGGGAACATCTGTCACTGTACTTATGAGACCTCAATTAAATGATCATTCCACGTTCTCTTGAGATCAAAACACAAGGGCATCCTTGCCTTTCCTTCACTCACAGAGCTTACTTGCAGAGATCGAAGCTTTAAAACCAAACTTTCAGTAGGCTTCTGAAAATGCCCTGATCAAATTTGCAGATTGTACTTATTCTGCACATTTTCAGAGGCATGTGGAAAATATAGCCTTTGACTGGAAGTGAACTTGCACTGAAACCTAGATCTAAAATCTCCAGACCTGGGGCAATTGCAGATCTTAACTTGGTAGCCTTAGGTGTCACATGATAGAAGGGTGGCTTCATTCTGAAAACGGATTTTAAAAAATTCAAAAACAGGTATGTTTTAATTTAGTAATCACTTCCATAGCCAATATGCTCAGGTTAGGGAAGGATCACAGGAAAGTAGGGCTGGAAGGAGCCTCACATACGTCATCCCCCTGTTCAGGGCAGGATCATCATCACTGACTAAACTATCCCAGTTACAACTGAAAAAAATGGTTTTCTTACCATTAGCCTTACAAGCAGAACTACGGATCTGACATCAGGGTTTTTCCTTCTTAGAACCAGTAAAATGATTTAGTAGGCCAGACTTGGCCCATTGATATCTGTGGCACTCAGATGGCCTCAAGTTAGCTCCCGCTAGAGTTGCTGATATAACTTGGTAGACAGTTTTTGGTAATGCAGAGGGAGAATATCAAGTTTACTCTCTCCCTTTTACCTGTGGTGTCTATACAAAGTGAGTGGAGTAAGTAATAAGCTTTATTTTTTGCCAGTAAAGGCAAAACACAGGAGATGTGATTCCTGTGTACATAAAACAAACACAACAAATCTGTCTTTATGGAAGGGTGCCATATTTCCAGTCAGTCCCTTTTCAGACCAAAGCTCCATTTAAGGTTTGCATGTAAAGATGTAAATAAAAAGCTAACATTTAACTATATTCTTAACTTTTTTGTATTTATTGATTTCACTTCTGAAGCATTGTGTTAAAACATTGAACATCCCTTGCACATATGCCAAAAGATTTTAATGGGCAATATATAGTGATGCTCTAGAGAAGTCGCAGGATTTTTCAAAAGCATCTAATTTTTGTTATGTTAATGGAATAGGCTCACAAATCGCTTGTGGCTTTTTAAAAATCCCACTTGTATTTATGAAAGAACCACCACATTATAACTTGGAATGGGGTTTCACTTCAGTTGTTGTGGCTTTTAGATTAAAAGGGCCACATCAGGAAAACTCTGCTCCCTCTAAAAAAAAAAAATGTCTTATTGACTTTATCAGCAAGCACCTATGAAAATAATATTTCAGATCAAACATGGTTCTTACAAAAAAAAAAAAAGTACTTGGTGTGTAAATGCTTAAGCCTTGCAAGTATATGGTGTTTTTCCAAAAATAAAGACAAAGACAAAACTACTTATTCCACTGTTTGTTTTTAGAGAACACTTCTAAGGCGAGCCACTCCACACCCTGGAGAATTAAAGAGCATGAAAAAGACAGTGGAGAATTTACGGAATGATATGAATGCTGCTAAAGGACTGGATTCAAACAAAAACGAGGTCAATAATGCCATTGACAGAGTGACCACTTCTGTGTAGAATTTCATCTCCGGGTTTTACCTCCTGTGTCTTCCCCTGCTGTTGAAATGTTCCTGTTGTCTTCTGGGACCTCATTCAGCCCCTTTTTGTTTTTAACCAGAACCTGATCCATCACCTCTTGTATCTGAAAGGTGCTGCTCACTGGAAGAAAGTGCCTTATTTCAGCCAGGCATTGAACCAATAATCTCTGAATCAATATTGTAATTTTAATAGTTTTAGGGTTTTCTAATAAGTAGAATACACTACTGTATAGAGGGTGCCATATTTTCGTCTTACACAGAAGGGGAATATGCTTTTGCCTATGTGCTGGGGGTATTTTCCCAGTAGCTGGATATAATGGTGAGAAATATGGTTTTGTGGAAAAATGGATACTTTTTTTACTTCCTTTTTGGCAGCTCAGATGATGTAAATTTTAAAAATTGTGTATAGGAGTTTCCTTAACAAAATGGTGTATTTCTTTTTTTTAAAGAAATTTTATCTTTAAACGGTACATATTTTAGTATGTGTGGAAGAGAATGCGAGTTTCATGGACAGTTGTATTCATTTGTTTGTACCACCCACTTGTGCCTTAATGTGTCTTGTATGTCAGGCTAGTCTTAAAAAAAAAAAAAGGTAAAATCCTTGAGCAGAGCAAGTAGGTTAAAACTGCAGTGCCTGTTTAGATATGTTTGGTAATTAACTTGTTGGGCGCTCTTTTTTTTCCAAAAAGAGAACTAATGTTTATATCAGAGGATTAAACTTTGTGAAGCACAACTGTTAGTTTATTGTACACTAAATTGAGATTAAAATGACCAAACTGCTACAATTGTTCCCTACAACTGTACGTTGTTCCCTACCCAATGCACTCACACTTTAACTTAGCTGTAACAAGACCTCCTATTTTGGATACAGTGCTGCATTACGGTTGGTAGAAACTCATGCTCCCACTCTTAAATATACCATTTGTAAAACAACCATTAAAAAAAAGCACAATAGACTTTCAGAAAAACAGTATGAAAATAGTTTTATGTACTACACAAGAAAGTGTGATTTTCCCCCCCCCCCCCCAAGTGCTTTAGTGGTTTTATATAAACACATATAAGACCATAATAAAATCTTAAAGTCTCAGTAGTTTTTATTATATTATTAAAATTCCTGTTCAACTAGGATAATACATTCTAAGATTTATCTGCATATTTTGTTATTCTGTGCCTTAAAGCAGAGATGTCAAATAGCCAGCCCAAGAGCAGGATCCAGCGCCTGGAGCCCTATCATCCAGTCTGTGGTGCTGCTTGTGCATGGGGGCCAGTCCAAGACCCACCACATGAAGCAAACACCAGCCCCAGCCTCACCCACTGCACGTGGTGTATGGAGCCAGTCAGCACACATTGCATGTGGCACCTGCACCAGTCCAGTCCTGTCTGCTGGATATGGGGCCAATCTGGTTTGGGCTTGCAGACCAGCCCCACACACCAGATCCAACATCCAAGGATCATAGGGCCAGAGCCAGTGCATGCTGCATGTGGCGCCTAGGGCTGGATCTAGTGTACATGCTGCATGCAGGGGTAGTCTTGCTGCAGAACAGCTCTGGGACATGCACTGAATATTGTGCCTGTGTCAGACCAGTTCCATGTGCTGGCTCTGGTGTGTGGGGCTGGTCTGTGGTCCCAGTGCAGCCCACAGGGCCAGATAAATTTGATACCTCTGTTTTAAATAATCTAATGTGGCCTGCAAATTTCTTAGACATTCAGATTTGGTATGTCTTGAAAAGTAACCTTTTTTTAAACTGACCTTAATGCTTTGTTAGCTACCAGATAGCACAAGTATAAAACACAGACAGTAGCCTTGTAAGGTTTCCTGTATTGTCACTGCTAATGCGCCCGGGCTCAGAGACAAAGGAAAACATATCAATCTCCATATTAAATCTAGCTCTGCTGAGGAGATTTGAAGCAGTGTTGTGATCTGTCTTAACTTGTGTTGTGTCTACTACATGCTGAAGAAGACCACTAACTCATCACATATGGAGTAATTAACGGTCTTGAATTTTGGATCAAAACAAAGGAATGCATGTGACTTCTTGGTGGGCGGGCCTACTCCTGATCCCATCCATGTCGCCATGTGCGGGCCGGGAGCGATCCGGGCCCTTTTTCGCTCCACGCAGGCTGTGGCCAGCAGCCCGGGCACGCTGGATCGGAGAGAACGGGCGACACGCTAGAATTAGGCACGGACACGTAATGGTTGATTCAAGATTGTTTACTTACACCGAAGATGGTCGCGGTGTAGGCTGGACAGTTTCCCAGGCACAGCTCCGATTAAATCCTCGTTTGAGGACTACGACAAGCTCGGGTCACTCACACGAAGTTTGCTAGGCTCCATGGATCCTTTTATTCACTCACTCACACGAAGTTTGCTAGGCTCCGTGGGTCCTTTTGCACGCAGGGAGAGGGATATGTCGAGGACTGCGGACGGGGAGAGGCTAGAGGCTGATCAGACTTCTGTTGCCTGCTTGAAATGCGCTGGGTCCAATAGGCTCCGCAGCACTTAGAGATCTTCACAAGACATGAAGTCTCCTCCTCCTTGTGTTCGTGGAGTCCTCCCTTGCAGGGGTTCTCCTCGGAGTTCTCCAACTTGGGCGGAAACCACTCAAGCTTTTTATACGGCTAGCAAGCCAATCGCTGGCCGCCACGTGTGAATAATTTCACACAAGCCAATAATGGGGCTCGAATTAGAATACAAATGGCGGGAACTCTTTGCAACGAGCATTTCTTAGCTGCAAAGAAGAAATGCACACTGCAAAGAAAGCTACGAATTGGCGGGAAAATAATTCAGTGGTGCCAAAGCACACACAAAAACAAAAATCACACCCTTGGGTTGTGACACTTGGGAGTCTGGGTATTATGTTCCTCAGTGAGCAGTCATTCAAAAGCATCACATTTCTGGAATTACATCTATTTGTAAGCCTTTTGTTAAAATTTCACAAAATTCCTTGTGATAAAGGAAGAAACAGAAGAAACCCTTTGTCCAGTATGTATCAATTTATCAAGAATATTTTGAAACCCAAAGAAGCTAGCTAACTTAGAGTTTATCCAGTGGGCACCATTGGTACTTATGAAGCAGAAGGAAGCAAAAATGGCAATTTCGCTCTTGAAATTATTAATTTTTGAGAGTTTATTCTTATTTTGAACACATTTAAAGTCATGTAAACATCCGTAGAAGGATTGCACTCTTGCATTTTGACATAAAATGGTGACTTGCAATGTTTGGCTTGTTCAAGTACTCCGAAATATAAGTCACACTTATGCAAAATCAGAGACATTTAGGCAAACCACATTGATGCCTATTGTAACTTTCTTCCATGTGCAGACACGTGTGAAATTGTGCAACTTGTCAGTGCCCATGTATAAGTACTTCATGTATTCCATTTCCCAAATGTTCCTGGTTTGATCTTCAAAGCAAACTTTATTTTCATGAGCTGCTGTGATGCGATAGGAATTGGATTTATCATGGGGCTCTTGTTTTGTTCTGGAGGCAGAGTTATTTCAGAGCTCAAGAGTATGTTGCTGCTTAATTTTATTTTTTCTTTTATTTAGTTTGTGGCAGGATTGGTTACCACCTTGCACAGGGTGCAATACCTTTTACTGTATTCATCCAAATATAAGTATTCCATAATGTGAAAAATGCAGGACTCTTTATAGAGAGAGTCCATAAAAATCTCAGAAAATAAATCCTTTGAACTCAAGAAAAACAATTTAAAAAAGACAACCAGCAACACCACTATCTCCTCTGACAACTATAAGTCTTCCACTGAGAGCTAACTAGCAAGACATCTCTTTCAACTTTAGAGCAAGCAATCTCTAGGGAAAAAGAAATGTTGATCTTGGAAATTTGGTTATGGCCCAACATACCATCAAAGGTAAATAGTTTGCCACCCTCAAGCAGATACTCCACCTTGCTGAAATCAGCACCATACATAAGTCTTAACAACTGTTTATTAGCCACTTTTCCATTAGGCAATTGCATCTTTGCACCTGACTTATTACCACACGGTGCCTAAGTTTCATCATAGCCAAAGCAGTAACCAAGCAAATACCCAGAAGGCAGACTGGTTTAATTATATTCTAAATTAAATAATCTATTACATTTCTCATATGACAATTAGGCTATTTGCTTATTTTTAAGCCCATTCTTCTTCCTGGACTGACCAAAATAGCCAATTTCAGTTAAATCTTCAAGGAAAAATATTGTTAGAGTCATTTAAGGAGGAAAGCTTTGTTTTGTTAATGTCTTTGTAATATCCTGCATAGCAGTTTGGGATTCTAGCACACTGCAGACAATGCAGCAGCATAAACAAGTTGTAAGGCATTTTGGAGAAACCAGTAGAGTAGGCAAATTTTCTGGGCTAGTAAATACTTAACTGTATTGCAACACCTGCCCATTTGTGTGGATGATCAGAGAGGAGAATAGTGGTTGTAATTTAACTACTTGCGTTTCATATTAGTTTGTCTTCTTGAATAAGTTAAAAGTCCAAAGAAAATCCCGTAGGAAGTTTGAATTTTGGGTACCATGTCTACAGCCTGTGTTTTATCAAAGGTGATATTTGTCCCTTTTGTATCCCATTTGTAAAAATAATATCTTGTCTATAGCATTTTATAGGTCTCTAAGGATTTTTAAGTGGTGTCTGAGTGTTGTCTGTGTTAAATGAGATGGTAACCGCTGACATTTTATAACCATTACTTTATAGTGTTTTTTTCATTTTTTAAATTCTTTAAACATACTGATTATTCTGCCACTGCTGTAAAGTACAGCAGGTAAGTATTTTACAGATAGGGGAAAAATGTAAGTTATTTCAACAGTATGTATGGCACCACAACCAAAGAGGAGTTGGGGAGAGGAATTGGGAACTCTTTCTGAAAGAAAAGAAGGAACCCATCTGTCATCCAGACTTGGAATCTCACGAGTCATGCTTAATGCTGAGATCCTGAGTTCATGACAGCACACTGGAGCTCATCTACAGCAATACACTTTTCTAAGTGGCCATGTGGGTACCAATGTCACTGTCAGGAATGATGCTGAACAAGATCAGAGGTGATTGAGATGCATGAGAATAGAGGGGTTTGAGGTGCATGTGGTGGTTGTCTTGGTACATCTTGTTGAAGATAAAGTACAGGGCAGGGACTCTGGCATCAATGAGGGAAATATGCCTGTCAATAGGATTTTTTTGACAACAGCTGATATTCCAGAAAAGCAATTTGTTTTCCAGAACTGTAATTCATTTGATGATGACTGAGGAAAACATCTTTGGGTCTCATTTGACTAATCTGGCAAGAAGGGCTTTAACGAGGTTCTACAGGTTAAAAAAAAACAAAAAACCCCACGAATTAGCCATGATGTGCTCAATACCAAAGGATGGAGACCAAGAGAAGATGCATAATTCTGAAGAGGGTTAGGAAAACACAATGTGGTATAGAGATGTGCAAGAGGAACGCCAGTAGGGCAGACTGAAAAGTATTGTCAGTGCATATATTTAAAAGGAAAGTGTGTGGAGAAGAAGCAGTATGAACTGAAGTCCTAGTATATAAAGCAAATTGTAATTAGAGTTGCAGAAATTTGGTGGAATACCTCCCGTGACTTGAATACATGATCTGAGATCTGCATGTTGTTGCCTGTGGGGGGAAGGTGGTGACAATGCACTATGTCAAGAAACACCCATCCTCACGCGCACACTTGTGCACACTCTCCCACCACCCACTCCCTCCCTCACCCAGGATCAGGAGGAAGCAGAAAATCTGTATATAAGAGGGGAAGGGAGGAGAAAGAGTGGTGATATTATGGGGGGGAAGGGTCTATTATCTACTAACTGAGGAGGAACAGATGGATGAGGCATTCTTCAAGCAAGTAACAAGAATCCAAAGCCATATCCAAAAATGATGATGGTACTAATGGTGGTCTTAACATTTCTCTGATGCCTGGACAAATAATGCAGCAAAATAAAATGTCAAGTAAGTTTTTAGCATGTGGAAAAGACAACTTTCTATTCCAGAAAGTTGAGGCAACAACTAGGGGATCACAGATCTTGAATTTTGTTCTCACAAATAAGGAATAATTGGTTATGAATATAAAGGTAATAG